ACATTTTATTAAACCTAAAATTAAATGTTGATAAAACATAAATTTTTAATTGGAATTAAAAATGTCTTAGCAAACTTCTTTAATGAGAAAAATATTAAAGCATATTATCCGCATTGAAATATCTGTATGTAGAATTATGATGAAGAGAAAAATAACAAGTATTTTTTTTTAGCAATATGCCTTCATACAAGCTGATTTACTTTCCCATCACGGCATTGGCCGAGCCAATTCGTTTCCTGCTCAGTTATGCTGGCATCGAGTTTGAGGATGAACGTTTTGATAGGAATGATTGGCCAAAACTTAAGCCGAGTATGTACATCTGATTAATCTTAATAACATATACTGCTATTCACCTGTTGCGAATTTAATCCAGTTTAATCCTTGAAATCCGATTTATGAACAGATAACAGATCTGTGATAAAAATATGGTTGTTATTATCAGCGCCGACTAATTTTCCTTGTAACATACTTTTTTTATTTTTTAATGTAAAATATTTTGATCAGTTTGATCCTTAACGGAACCTGTACCCTTTAGTTTTTTTTTTATATAACAGAACCGGAAATTATTTTTTTTTTACAATAGAACCTTTTGTTTCTTATTACGTACTGCAATAGGAAAACCGATATTGTTATGTAAATACAGTGTCTTTGTTCAGTTAATGAAAAACATTGTGGCTTTCATTGTATGGTTTCAACGTAAATAGTGTACGTAAGGAAATCGTTTCTGTATTGTTTAAATTAGCCAATCAATCGATACATGCTATAGGATTTGAAACACAAATCTTTCAGCATCATAGAGTCATATAAAAGGTAGTAGAGTGATCTGTAAATTGTACAAGAGAACAAGAAATTGTCATGATAATAAAAATTAAAATTTGTATTGTCAAATTCGGATGTGAAAATGTAGTTGTGTATATTTAACTTTAATTGTGTACAATTAACCATCACAGTTCTTAAAAAATATTTAGATATAAATTTGTTACAATAATCCAGATGACTAGAAGTTTATGATCTCTATTATAAACTTTGTTCAATTTTAACCGCACGTTGCATTTATATCATCTTTCAGCTATGCCATTCGGTAAAGTACCCGTACTCGAAGTAGATGGAAAGAAAATCGATCAGTCCACAGCTATCTCCCGTTATTTGGCGAAACAATGTGGTCTTGCTGGCAAAAACGATTGGGAGTCTTTGGAAATAGACTCGACTGTCGACACTATCCATGATGTACGCGCCAGTGAGTATAATATTCTATTTACTTACCTGATTCTTTTGTTTATCAGAAGCAGAGATTTAATTTTAAAATAGATTTGAACCACGATATTGATGAGTTTATGTATATCTCAATAAATTTACTTAAATATTTGATTTAATTTGTTTGTTATTTTAGCTTATGTCTTTTTTTTCTTGCTCGTATTAGGTATCGCTAGTTTCCACTACGAGAGCAATGAAACAGCTAAAAATGAGAAACTTAAAGTTGCCAAGGAAACAACAGTGCCATATTATTTGGAGCGTTTAGACGCACAGGTGAAGAAGAATGGCGGTTATTTTGTCGGTGGTTCTTTGACGTGGGCCGATTTAGTTTTCGTCGGTCTTTTGGATTATTTGAATTTCATGATGAAGGAGGACATCGTTGAGAAGTATGAGAATCTGAAACAACTCCAAAAGACAGTCGAGGAAGTACCGGCTATCAAAACCTGGATCGAGAAACGTCCGCCAGCGATCTTTTCGAATTAATTCGGTTGATTTCATAAATAATTTCATAAAATGATAACTTTCTGACAGAGTTTCTTGTCATTGATGATTGATAAAATATCGATTTTTCTTTTTTTTTTTTTCAAACGCGTTTATATCTATATTGGAGAAGCATATATATGATTGATTTATGAACTAGAAGATACACTGAAGATATATATTTTAACACTTGTTAAAGGCTGATATTACTCATATTGTTATATGTCATATAATACTAAAACTATAAGATAATTTCTAATCAAATCTTGAAGAATGAACTATTTTTTTCATTATATAATTTTGTATTTCAATAAATGTGTACTTTTACTATTTTCTTGTTGATTTCTTTCATATTCGTGAAACTTACCTCTTCAATCATTTAATTTATTTATAATGCACTTCTATTTCTAATTTCAAATAACGTAAAAAAATCTGAAGGATAATAAATATATTAAATTTAAGGATAATCAAAGCATATTTGAAAAATTAAACCGTCTTTGATGTTTTTACAATTTTTTTGGACTGTACCAAGCAATTTCTATTCTTAGAAAGTTTTCTCCTGGAAATGAATCTTGTCTCAATGATAAAGTGGGGTTGTGTTGAACTGGTAGAGAGATAATGGAAGAATTTAGTAGTCGAGCAGCCATTTTTATTATTAGTAGATCATCACTATTGATTACGTGAAACAATGGATTTACCGGCAAAAATGGTTGGGAATTATCATTGAAAATCGGTTGTCAATATCACATGAGTATTGAGTACTTAACTGTCAGAATCATACGAGATTTATGACAAAGTAAATACTATTCTATGTATTTAATTTTTATCCGAACTCATGAGAAGCAGAAATTTCTTTGAAAGCAGATTCAAATTATGATTGTCATATCTTGAAATCTTGATAATATGGATGGATTTATATTCATAAATGATAGTAAAAATTTTATTGATTAAAACGATTCAGACTGTCGTCACTTTATCTTTCTTTTGTTGCTCGTATTAGATATTATTGCTTTTTTTTTAATTTACGTGCTATAAACGTGCTAAAAAAACAGTAACTTAAAGTTAGTGATGAAACGGTGTCGTTTCTTGGAGCGTCTGGACATTCAGGTAAAAAAGAATGGTTTTGTTATTGATGGTGCTCTGATCTCACTTTTTGTCAGTCTCTTAAATTACATGAACTTTCTAATGAAAGCGAATGTTATTAAGAAATACGAGAACTCTTGAAGCAACTCATAAAGAAAAAGGAAATTCTAATCATCAAAAGTTGGATCGAAGAGTGCCTGACAACTGCATATGAAAATCACATGCGTAATTATATGTAAGAATTCCGGAGAATGATTCATTTTTTGACAGAGTTGATTGTTTATTGATGTTTGATTTGAATTAAATGTTTTTTTGATGATTTCTTTTGTGTTTACACAAAATCTTATATCTTTTCATTTGTTCAATTTGTTTCAATCAGTCTACATCCTTGTATCATTATTTTTTCTTATTTTATAAAATTATTTTTGTATTTAAATTGCTATAAATATAATTTAGTTACAGTTAGGCATCCAGTAACATATTCGCATCGAAGAAAATCGGCAGCAATGTTGAGCGTAATCAAATATTTAACAGCCAAAAGGTCGCATATTTAATTCATAAATAGATATTAGCCTTTAAAATGCTGTTGATAAAAGGGGCGTGTATGGTAAATAAAATATATGCTAAATAATTAATTTAACGATTGCGAAACATTGATAATGCATTATCTGCTTTTATGAACAAATAGAGCACTGGAAGTGCCTTTTTAGTCACGTCGTGATGCGGCTTTCGCGGTTACTAGGTGCTATATTATCTCGGCGTATAATTGTAATGCAACCGAAGGTCGTACAACATAGTTACAGGGGGGGTCTATGACTATTCACCGACAATGAGTAACTAGAAACGTGAGAAGGCTCATGTACATGTGTTCATATTATGCTGCAATGTGACAATTACATTGGATACATCTGACCTTCCTACAAAGAAAAACATGATAAAATATTAACATAAATCAATAGAATATTTTCTTAAGAATATTCTTGCAATATGTTGAATGTTTGAAAAAAATTCTAATTAATTTATATTTTTTTAAGTTTTATATATCGCCTTTGTAAGCATATTTTTGAAAAAAATTTATTACACCTACACTTCATAAATAAGAGTAATATACTCGTATTTTCATTATATATTCCTTAATTACAGATTTAATTATGTGGAAAATAACGATCGATTGACATTAAGAGATATATTAACAAACTCGCAAATTCGAATTCCAGAAAAGAACTAATGAATTCTTTGCATTATCTGTTACTTATTTTTTGTAATATTGAATATGTGTGCTTTTAATTTATAATTTATATGTATAATAAACTTTTAAATTTGATATTTTTTTCAAATATTAAAATTTTGTTTATTAATACTCTGTTATTTCTCTAATATATTCAATGTTTATTTGATCAATTTTTAATCATCATATTTTCTTCCAATTTTATATGCGCGTGAAACAGTAAGTCATAACAAGTTATTAATAGCGTGAATCACGAAACATTTATCTTTTATGTAATGATTGTGCATGATATAGACAGTCAGTACCGCGCCTCATTGAGATAAATTCTGATAAATCTTATAACTGTATGATCGTCGCGAATACAAGTATTTGTGATATACATATGCGAATTGCAATGTATTGCACAATTACACGTAAAATGTTATTACTGATGTATAAATATCGTATAATCATTTTATTATCAGTTGCATATGCCTTTGAATATTTCAGAAAACTTATTTATTTAAAAAGCATACATACCATAATCATTATATTATAATATTTATTATAATCAATCTCAACTTCTGTTAACTTTAAATCTTCCCAATCAGCAGACGATGTTTTTAAAACGTTTTTAAAATATTTATTTAATGTAAAAATATTTAAGAAATATTTTTTAAATATTGTGTGCTGATTGGATTATTGGATATTCTGGGTATTTCTTACTGAGATGTCTCTGGAATTGTATTTAAAAATTTGATAGATGTAAGATGTCTTTAAAATAAAATATGCGGTGGGGAGTAAATTATTAAAGTTCTAACGAAACGCTCACTGTCAGTTGTTCTCGGTTAGCGAGCAGTTTTGCATCGATTGCTAGAGTCTTGATTTTACGAGAGATTGGATTACAGACTGCAAGGTAGTGAGGAAATTATATCTTCTCTATTCCACAACCTATTTTTAAAATAAATATAGTATAATATATACATATATAAGCGAGTATTATTAATACTATTAAATATTTAAAATTAGGCGTGTTTAATTTTAGCTGTGGAGTTAAAACATAAGGCTATTAACGCAAAACATTCAATGTAGGTAAGATTTCGAAAATTATAAAATGTTGATGAGCGCCGCCCAGACTTATCAATACTCTACTTTTCCTGAAATCTTATTTATATTGAACTACATTGAATTTTCTTCGTTGATGGTCTTGTGTTTTAGTTCCGCAGTATTTTGATATAAATTAAACACGTCTGATTGAAATTAATACTTTTGAAAAAAATGTAAAATATGGTTGTCATAAGGATATTAAATAAATTATGTAATTAAATATCAAAGACTAAATTTTGATCATAGAAGAAATTTTGATTACACTTCTAATTAATTTTTATAGTTAACAATTATTTGAAGAAGACCTAACCCAGTTAAATATTGATTGAAATGTATAATGTTGATACTTTTACTATGAATGTTTTAAATAACACGTTATATATATTACGTATTAGAATTGTTATGTGCATGTTTAGACTTTTATAAAAAAAAACAAATATTATTTTACGTATCTTATTTTACGCGTATTTATATTTTACAATTTTGCATTTATATAATTTTCAGAATATGCCGACGTACAAGCTGATATATTTCGATGCTACGGGCCTTGGGGAAGCAATTAGGTTTATGTTAAATTATTGTGGCATCAAATTCGAGGATGTTAGATTTAGCTTCGATGACTGGCCAAAGTATAAACCAAGTATGTTACCTTATATAATATTATCTTAAGATATAAAACGGTCATAATTTCGATTGTTATTCCATTTAAATACTAATTCGTGTTATAAGATTTTGCAAAATAAACCCCTTGCATTATAAGACTTTGCAAAATACATTCCGCGCATTTACCGTCAAGTTTTATTATTTTACGATTAATCGCGCTTGTATTATAAACGCGCACAAGGAACAAATTGTTCTGCAATAAAGCAAAAATAAAGAAGCAACTCTCTTTTCTCTTATTCAAACAAAATAATAAAGACAAAGTAATAAATATATGTAAATTTTATATGTGAATTCAACAAATCGATGTCGATAAATATTAAATATTTTTGCGTGCTGTTTTTCGCATCGACTTGTAATGCCTCTTTAATCTTCTTTATTATTCTGTAATAATGTCTAATGACATTTTATAAATATAATAGACATGCCCATGGGACAAGTGCCGGTTCTGGAGATCGATGGTAAGCAATATCATCAGTCCAGGGCCATCGGACGATTCCTCGCTAAGAAGGGCAATTTATATGGATCCAACGATTTTGAGGCCATGGAAATCGATGCAACAATTGATTCTATCGAGGACATAAGACAAGGTAAAAATATCGGTGGCAAAATGCGAGAGAATGACAGATTGTCTGTAATTACATAATCATCAAAGTAACATGATTGTGACTTTTTGAATCGTCCATGTTGACGGGATTAGTCAATTTAATGCATACATTGCGCATATACCAACTAAGACATATTTAACGTTATTGTTGCAAAGTACTTTGTCTAAAGCAGTTATTTGAAGCTAATAAGTTATATATATATATATAATCCTGAATAACTGTTGCGCGTTATATAATAATAATTATTGCTCTTCTCGCGGTTGGCGGTTCACAATGTGGGAACTATACATGTATATCTCTGTGTAATGCAAAAAAAGTAAGGCAAATTTATTTTTGTAGCAATGACTCTTCATTATTGGGAACAAGATCCCGCCTTCAAAGCGAAACTCAAGGATACGCTTTTTCAAAAATTGCCTAACTATCTTGACGTATTCGAAGCTCAAGTTAAGAAGAACGGTGGATATTTCGTCGGTGGCAAGGTATAATTGTAATATTGATATTAATTTATACGTGTGCAGCTACATATCGTATTAATATTAATTTATACGTGTCGAGCCTTGTTTTGTTAGTTTTGTTTTTTTATAAAGAGATAAAAATACATTTTTATTATTTTAGCTGTCGTGGGCAGATTTTCTGTGGGCTGCATATCATGACTATATGAGTTTTATGGTGGGAGGGGATTTGATCAAGAATTATCCCGAATTGAAAAAGCTAGTGGAAAAAGTTCGTACTTTGCCCAAAGTTAAAGCTTACATCGAGAAGCGACCTAAAACTCAATTTTAAAACGATCTATAATATTATGTTTCCTTTTTGATCTAACATTAACTTTTTGATTTAATATTATCCTTTATTAATAACTATTTTCTATTTTGAAGCGTTTTGTAGGAGAATAGCATATAACTAATGTTCCGAATAGTTCTTTAATCTGTAGTTTTTCTGCAATCTAACATACAATAACTAACATTATTATATATGAAGTAAATAAAAAGGAAATAAAATCTTTTCATTAAAAGTGTGTGTGTTTATTGCTAATTTCTTATTTCTAATCCCTTTTTACTTATCGGTTTAAAAATGTTGCGTATCCAATTTTTAGTGTTTCTTTGAAATTTTCATTGTTTTTTTCTCCGTAAGAGTATAATTATCAATTCTGTATATTATTTTAGAAAACGTAATATTTAAATAATATATTATGTATCAAATATCGTATATTATAGATAGTATAAATTTGATCTTGATTTTTTATCATTCCTTAACCATCAAATAATTTTTTAATGAAGGATATATGTCTCAAGTACATATATAGTACCGTTTTAACGAAACGGTCAATAAAAATCCATAATTTTGTTTTACCTGTCGTGGCCAGATTTCTTGTGGGTTGCATTTTGTGAATATATAAACCTTGTCCTAATCGAAGATCCGAACAAGGATCATCCTGAATTGAAGAAACTAGTGAAGAAAGTTCGTACTTTGTCCAATGTTAAAGCTTACATGGAGAAACGACCCAAGAAACCTGTGTAAATAAAACGATTTTAGAGAAAAAAAGAAATCGTTTAAATGATATCTAAAAAAATCCTAAATCTGATTTTTTATATATCAAGAAAATGTTTATATTAAGAATTGTTATATATATAAATATTACACAGATTCTTAAAATAATTTTTCTTTACACTAAACTAAACGATATACTTGTTAAAATACATCTCATTTACTTTCATCATAGAATGTAATTTAGAAGACTTGTTTCTAAAAGTCGTCCCAACCTCTATTAGAATATGAGTGAAAGATTTCATTATGCTAGGCCTTTAATTTCATTCTATCTTGTATGATTTTTTTTTTTACTTAGAAACAGAACTCTATCACTGGCTATCTATTGGCGATGTCGCATAAATGTTTATTAATAGTATTTATAAATAGACATAAAAGTGCTCTTTTGAGAAAACGTCTTATTGAATGATTCTTTTTACATCATTTTAGATTTGAGATCTTTAAAAAATCATTATAAAGAATTCTTCGTCTCAACAATGCTCAATGGGTTATCTGTTTGCGAATGATTCTCAAGTTGTGTATATTATAGAAAACAATTTCAATAATATATCTGATAGCACAGTATTATAAATAGTATAAAATTATTTTGATTTTATGAATAATATGAATAATATTTTATGATATAATATTCGTTAATATTATTAATTTTTTAATCGTTGTTAAACAAAAAACTAAGAATAATTAAGAAACGTCTATATTCTAAGCAAAAAAGATGCACTAAAAAGTTACGTGCGAGAAATATTCTGTTAATTATTGCAATGATGAGCCTCGACATAACATAATTTTATGTTTTACTGATCTAGTAATTAGCATCTTGATCTCCTGAGAAAATAAGAGACATGCATCCTTTTTTCCAATTGATGTTATATGCTTCGTGTGTGCATTCTGTTAGGTATAACTTTGTATGTGATTGTGCATGTCTGGTGTTTTTCCATAGGTCTGCTCTCTCTCTCTCTCTCTCTCTCTCTCTCTCTCTCTCC